CTGTGTCATCAGCGATGTGTCTCTCACGGCCGGTTCCCAGGTTTGAATAATCCTTTGTAATAAATACACCTTGCAGCTTTATTTGCTGTGATCAGTGGGAATAAAGTAGTTTTAATATGTGTTTAAGTGGGAAAATCCACCTGAGAGGACATGTATATAAAAAACGCGCCCTATAGTCCGGTGCGCCTTATGTGTGTGTTAAATACAGAAATGGCACACATAACTGAGACCTCGCCTTTTAGTCCGGTGCGCCTTATGGTCGTGAAAATACGGTAATTCAACCCCCATATTTTATCTCAATAATTTTATTTTTCAACAAATGTCTTATTATTGGTGAAACTAACTTCTCAGATGAGATAGTTTAGAAAAAGCAATTACTTCAAAGTCCACAGCCCAACCAACCTAAACCTTGCAGCACAGGAGGACATGCATGCAGCTGCTGCTTTCATTTTTTTTTTTTTTTTTGCCAGAATCTAAAATTTCATCTTTGGAAAAGAAAAAGCAAGAGCCTAAAAGCATTAGATGTTGTTTTACTTGCTATTTGCTGCTGTTTCAGTGATTGGCTAAAACCAAACTAAACTAACTACCAAACTATAAAGTATCAATATGAGCTAAGTGCTCTATATTAAGCTGACCTTGGTCAAATTTTATGCCTCATTGCTTTAACAAATTAAATACAATTTTCCAGATTCATCTAAAAGTAGTAAATTTTACAGGAAATTGTATATTTTTTGGTTTTGTAGAGTGAATAGTTACAATTTAGTGTGCAACATCAAGTGTGTCTTTTAGACTGCATGGTTTTACTAAAACCTTTTTAATGAGTCCCAAAACTGTGTTATTGGTTTATGAGGAACATTTACCAACATTTTGGAAGGTTTGATGCAGATTTTTCTTGTTGAATCATTCCCAAATAAGAAAAGGCAAGTTGAGATGCGTTGTTGGTCGACATTAGAAAGCTACAGTATGTAAACTCCTGACAAGAACAGTTGTTTGTACTCCAAAGCTAAGGGATACTGACATCCTTTTGATCAAATACATTTCAGAAAGAGATCTCAACCAAAACATATTTTTCTAGCATAGATGTTAAAAAACACCTAAAATTTTGAATCCATAGAGGCAGATGACCCGCATTTGGTTTTAACAGCAGCCCTGTGTTGATGATATCACAACCTTGTTAATGCAACATGTACATACTGAATAATTTTGCATATTGTGTAAATCATGTTGCTTAAAAGATTTCAGCTTAGATAATATTGCAACAGAAACATCCCTTTTTTGCAGATATATATAAAGGGTCTGAGAGAAACCAGGATTCAGCTTCAGTGGCTTTGCTGTGTTGAAGTGATCTCCAGTAAAGACAGTCAGCTGACTCAAACAACCTTCTGCCTCTTCAACTCCGTGAATTTCCAAATCCAGCCTACTTGACAGGTGAGAAGAAATATGAAATAAACTATATCTCCGTTACTCATGTATTTTTCGTCACATTTTTATTGATTTATTTACTAGGGACAAAATCAATTTTGATCCATCACAACAAATTTCATTGCTTGGCTTTAATTAAATATGAAAGACATCGGTCCCAATCTTTAAAGCTTCCAAATAAATAGTGCTTAATTGTTGAAGCTTTAAGAAAATAAAAATGTAAAAATGCACATGCTAAGCCATGGAGTTGAAGGCATAATGATACAAATAATAATAATAACAAATATTATTGTATTATTTTTTTTACAAAACTTTTGAAGATCACACCGAAAGTATGCATATTCGAAATCATAAATTAACAAAGATTATACTATAAAAATAGCCTAGATTAACTAATGGTTACATTCTTTAATCTGACTGTACATAACAGGTTCCAATGACTGACCAACTGTTTCTTGTTTTTTTCTTTCTCTCAGAAAACAGCAATAGTAGTTTGTGATTTCTAGAGTTGTTTTAACTTCATAATAGATAATTTAATTTCCTCTTAGAGAAACATGGAAATATTAACATGGAACACACCGCTGTTCTTTTGGCCATGCAATTATAAATACTTCTATCCCTTTGAAATCTAGATTTATCTTTAATAATCAACTGTGATGGGATTTTGCAAAACAATACTTTCCTTATTTCTGTGTGTTTTCATATTGTTCTTTATTGGATATGGTATGAAGTATCTTTGAATTCCGAATAATAAAAAAAAAAACATCTTTATCATATTGCCTCCTTTTCTGAAAGTGCCAACCAACCGACCAAACAACCGTTCAACCAACTAACCGACCAACCAATAAACCACACAAAGGTAAGCAATCATGGTCAAAGGTAATAAACTATCTCATACCTGCAACTATTTACTAATCTTTGTCTTTTAAGTTTAAAAACAATAAAAACAGATTACAACTCAGAAAGTTATTTGTAAAAGTAGTTGGTCTCAGGTTCCGGCTCTCAAGAACCTACAACACAGCAATAGAGTTAATTCCTTCCCACTATCACCTCAACCCCCCTCTCCATTCAGGGGACCAAAACATATCGCCTGGTTAGCCAGGCCAACAATGACCCTAACGACCAGTAGTTGAATTGTCAATAAAAAGAAGGGGGATGGTGGATTGTTTTTCTTTTTGTAAGCATACATAGCCTGATTAATAAATTCTATTAACCTAAAGCACTATGAATGTTGTGGTTGTTACATATCAGGTAAGCCGGTCATTGATCTTGACCAAGGTACCTTACAGTAGACTGGCATGGCTATCACTGCCCCTACATAGTTAGCATGGCTAGCACTGGCATAGCTAACACTGCCTCTAAATAGTTAGGGACTAATTTCCCACTGGAATCAGCTTCATAGTCATGGTAGGACACTTCTTTGATTTTATTTTGGAGAATCTTTTGGCAATGAATCTATTAGGTTTGGAACAAAATACATAAAACATTGCAAATGAATATCTGAATCCTTTGAAGTCAAGTATGATTGTATTCAAATGCAATTAATTAAATTGAAACAGCTGAAATAATTTTCAAAATCTGAAAAAGAAACGACTAACAAATCAACTAACAAATCCAAATACATAATTAGCCTGAAAATGAAATAAGCCTATATAAAAGATAATAATTTTAAACACCTTTCAAATATTCATTTAGAGTATTTATTTTATAAAATAGACAGTTTATCAGAAAACCAGTATAGCTTCTATTGGCAAATGTATAGTAATCTGGACTTCATGCTGGCAATGAATGAGTTAAAACTATTCTAACAGGTCTGAGGAACTATATTTGCCATTGATTGGATGACAGGCATTATCTAGCGCCTTATAGCGCCTTTTAGGACAGTCAATAGCGGCCTTTCTTGCTGGGGAGTTGGCAACACTAGTGAAGGGATGAGAGGAGCAGAGAAGAGAAGCTATTGATAAAAAGTTCCAAATTTTGACAAAAGAAAGTGTTTAAATACATGAAAAACACTTATAATTAAATTGAAATGGGTCTTAGAGTTCACAAAGTTGTTGTTCTCCGCACATCCCATACTGCTGAGTTCTTTCTATATTGTGGAATTTTGAAACAACTTTGTAAAGAAGAACAAGCACCATTGCGGCCATGCAAAATTCTGCAGGTAACTGTTAGGACAGCTCAGTGACAGCACTAGGGGGATATTTCATAATTGGGATATTAAAAAAATATAGTTTTGACTACTGACCAAACTACAAATTAACTGAAATATCTTGGTTATAATTGCGGAGGTGTGACACTTTCAATGACAAATCATTGAAATGCATTTTGACTCTCCAAAATGTGATTAGATATCTTGAATTGTTATTTTTCCCTAGACATAATATAGGAAAATAAAGCATCATTAAGGGCAGTAAAAATTTAGTAAATAATATTTGTCTATTCTATTAGAATGTCTGTATCTCTATAATTGGTCTGTGTGATGAGTTGTCTTCTCAATTCAATTCTTTGCCTAGGGCCCCAAATTTCCTAAATCCGCCCCTGCTTCGATTCTCTCCTCCGATTTTCATCTGTTGTGCCCTAAATGACCTACCCTGTACCTAAACTAACGCCCACTAATGAGAAAACGGATTGAAAACGGATTGAAATATGAACGAAAAGGGAAATTTTAAACATATTCTTAATGTTATCATATGTTTTTATACATGGATGCCTTAAAATTTATAGTTTTGGTGGACAGATAAATTCGAATTAATAGGATTTTACTTGTATGGAGACACGTTTCAGTCGATGTGCTTCAGTTAGTGTGCAATGAATAAATTCTCTGCTCAGTGGATGCCAACTCCTGATTTTAGATCTTTTCTGACACTTTATCTGTTAAACGTAGAACCTGCGGAAGATTCCCTTTCCTCCTTATTTTCACATTCCTTCAAATTGTAAAACATCATCACAGCATGATGCTGCCACCACCATGTCTCAAAGTAGAAATGATTTTGAGGGTAATGCACATTAGTTTCCTTCCACCTGGCGCATTTAAAATTTAACCAGAGTATCTTCTCCTAAATAAATTTTCCAAAGACCTTTTTTGAGAATAAATATATAAACTAACAAATGATTCTCCCTTTTTCCCGTTTAGGAGATAATGAAGAAGATCCTGCCATTTTGCCTGTTTTTCTGCATGCTGCTGCAGGCCACTACCTCCAAGCCCAAGAAAGAAAGCAGCATACCTGAAACTGCAGGTTATATTAATTTTAGAAAACAGCATATGGACCAAGGCATGACAAAGGAGAAATGTAAAAAACTAAATACTAAAAATTATGGCAAAACAAATGATTGCAAGGAAAAAAACACGTTTATTACAGATTCTCCGAAAGATGTCAAATCCATTTGTAATGATGGAGGAGATTATGATAGTAAAACTGGTTTAACAGTGAGTAAAAAGGGATTTAATATCGTTGACTGTACATTGAAACAAATGGAAGCCAAAAAACCTCATTGTGAATACAGGGGAAACACGTTCACTCAGAGGCTTCTTGTTGTGCGCTGCCAAGATGGCTTACCTGTGCACTTTGAAAGGAGCATACAGTTACCAAAGGTGTTTAATTACTAATGCTGCAAATGCTTTAGCTTTTTTTTGACCGACAATCCTTTAAAACATGGTGCAAATCTTTTTGACACAACTTTCTTTTAATATACTTTGGTTTTAAACATGTATCTTTTCTTTAACATCAACAGCATATTAAGGAACATCCATATCTTTCTGTAATGTCCATGGCTTATAAAAACAACATTTTTGGTCTATCACTTGCCCTTATTAACCTACTGCTTTATAAAGAGCTGTGTTGTGCTAATGCTGATCATGAATCATATGGAAATAAAATAATTTCAGAAAAACCACATTGAGTTTAATGAAGAAATGAATGCAACTCTTTATTACTATGAGTCATTAAGGGGTGTATCATATGTAATAGGTATTGAAAGCAGTCATGCTCCAAACAAAGGCTGCATTATGACTTATATTTACTGAAAAGGAGGAGAGTAAAGGAGACACAAAGATGGAACTAAGAAAGCAATGCAAATCATACACAATCATAGAAATATTTAAAAATATCTGCAATGGTTCGATATGCAGTTATTTTTGTCCATTTAATTCTTCATAAAATCAAGTTCTGATATTTTCATAAACTAGACTATTATTATGTTTATATAAAACAAACACTTTTACCTGACTATGCATTCTGTTTTCTTTTCTTTCAGCTCTTTGTACATTTTTTTGTGATATTTTCCATTCCAATAACTATGTATTATTTGCTTTATGTTAAAGTGAACAGATTTCTGAGAGTTAATCTGGGCACATTTTCAGCTTGGAGATAAGAAAAAAAGAAATATAATAATAGGGATAATTACAGTTGCATGTATTTTACATACAAATTAGGTTCTTTAACAGGAATATGCCCCTCCTTACTGGTGTTAGTATGGTGTCAGCAAACAATGAAAGTATCTGTTTAGGTTGGTTTGGAGGAATCCTTATTTCACAGTAACCTGTGGGTCCAAGGTGAATGCACAGAATCAGGTAAGTGAGAGAAGAGATTGGCATAATGTTCAAGGGGACAAACCAGGGTACGGAATATGGAAGTCAGTCCAATGTTAGAGCCAGGTGATTCGAGATCCAGAAGCAATCCAAAGGCAAATCCGAGAGCGAGGTCAGGACACAGATAACAGGTCAGAGATCCAATAACACATTGCAACAGATTGGATAGGGTTGAGGAAGGTTCAGAGAATCAGGAGGCAGATTCAAGCAAGCAGACAGACAGCCAGGTATACAGGAATAGTGGACTTATCTCACCAATGGCTTGTAATAATCTGGCACTAGTGGCTGGTCTGAGAGCTGGTTATAGTCAGTTGAGCAGGTGAATCTGATGGAGGCTGATTGGAAACAGGGAAGAGCTGACAGGTGTGTTGGATCATAACTCATACCAGATCCAGTGTCAGGAATCATGACAGTTGAAAAGATTTTAAATCCATCCTGGTACCTGATGGTCTGTAAAAGGCAGTTTGTTAATTCAATCTAATAAAAAGAAAAGAAAAAGAAAATTAGAAGAACTTTGTTGATACAAGCATTTTAAGACTCAGACCTCAGCAGGAAACTTAAGTGCTGAATTTTACTTTAATATGCATAAGCAGGTGTATGAGAACAGGGATGTTTCCCCCCCAGGCCTGAAACTTGTGGTGGAGTGGAGATTGATGACGTTGGTTCATTCCATAGTCTGCTGGTTTGGGAGATGATCTGCTTGAGCTGAATTGGTGAGATCCATTAAATTGTGTGAGCTGATACTAGTGCTTCACTCAGGGTACCCGGTAGATGTCCAGCTTTTCCATGACCAGCAGAGATGGGAAGTAACGAAGTACAAATACTTCGTTACTGTACTCAAGTAGATTTTTCTGATATTTTTACTTTACTTTACTACTTATTTTTATGGCGACTTTTTACTTCTACTCCTTACATTTTTACACAAATATCTGTACTTTCTACTCCTAACATTTTAAAAAAATGGCTCGGTACTTTAGTTTTGAATCATTACAATGGAGTT